ATCGACGAACTCGGGTTCCTCCGTTTTCCCCCCGATGTCTTCGCGCGTCAGGGGCGGGCGCATCGCGTCCTCCGCCGGGGACGGCGGGGGAGGGTCTCGCCGCTCTGCTCGCTCGTAGCGCAGCAAGCGAGCACGGAGGGTCGCCGCGTTGCCCGTTGCGTTTATCCCGCGCGCCGTCGCTTGATCTCGCAGCTGCTCCAAGGGCAGCGCGTAGATCCACGCTTCGCGGTCGGAGTCTTCCGGCATGATTATTCGATACTCCTCGTCGCGCACGAAACGGAACGGTAATCCTAAGCGTTACGAGAAACCCGCAGCCTAAACTTTGGTGTGGAAGCGACCAGCCTGACGGGAGCCTCTTCAACGGCGCTATTAGCCGTTACGGCACACGAAGAACGGTACACGAGAAAAAAAAATGGTCCCCCAACACCAACAATCACCCCGACAATTTGGTAGCCACCAAGACAAGCACCGGGACACCACCACAACGAGAGCAGCCTCGATATCCCGAGCAGAGCGTGATCACGAAAAAAAAAAAAATATAGCAAAGAAACCCTGAGCGAAAATAATCGATAATTCTTGCACCGCGACAAACGATCTCGCACGTGCCGAAATCCCACCGAAAAAAAACGAAAACACGGAAAGTCGTGCTTAGCGTCGGCAACCCGGAACCCGAAAAACCGTAAACACGAGTCGAGCAAAAAAAAAAACGAGCCGAGACGTGTCGTCGTTTTCGCGACTTTCGGTTAATTTAAATTATCCTCCTTTGTCTCGACCAAATAGTGGAAATTATCTCGCCGAAATCGTGCCCCACGTTGGGCGCCAAAAATTTGCGACGCGATTATCGCTCGCCGTCGGCAAACTGCCGTCGGTCCGCGAGTCTCGGCCAACCTAGCTCTCACAAAATCGGTTGGGCGCCAGGTGCAGCGGGCTACACCATTCACCAACGCTACGCGACACCTCACCAAAGGGCCGAGACACGCGAAGTCGACGGGACCGGTAGCCCTTCGATATTTAAGTCGGTAGACGGGAAGGGTTCGTCGGAAGTCGGGAATGACCGGGAAAACACAAGAATTACGAGGCGCGTTTCGACTATCTTTAGCTTTATTATTTCGGGAATCGGAACGGTCCGACCCCTCGATACGATACACTCCGCTTAGGCTCTCGCGAATTCGAGATTGTTCGCTACGCCGATAATTTTGACGAGACTCTTTACTCTCACGACACCGAAACGATAATGCAGGTGGAAGGTCTTACACAATCGGGAACCTCCCGGCGACGTGGTCCTCCTCTCTTTTCCCTCTCACGCTCGCTCTGGCACGCGCTGCCACTGACGTCCCCTCCTAGGCGAGCGGTACGTTCGGAGCCCTCCGCTTGCTGACGCCAAAAACTTCACTAATGCTTTTGCTTTTATTCTCCTTCGCGGTAGTCGATATCTCTCAGGTACTATTCGGAAGCAGGTCGGCGATATTAGAGAGCGACAATGGGAGTCTCCTCTTTTTATTTCCTTCTCCCCTGACAGACTTTCTTGTCCGTTGGTGTTGTCTCGTGCTACCCGTCTCTCCCCGTCCCTCGGTAAATCTCCCTATACGGGAATCCTTCCGCGGATCTTTGTTTTTCGATCCGCGGGACGGGTGCTCGGTCTCACTCTCTTGCTCACTCTCTCTCTCTCTCTTGCTCGCTCTCGCCCGGTCTCCGTGTTTAGGCTGGCTTTGTCTAGTCGGCGTTCACGCGCCAAGCACGGGAACGCCGACCGTTCGGCGCGATATCCTTGCAGGCCTGTGGACAACGGAAGCGGCCGCGAGAACCTTTCACAACGATACGGAACCGATAATAGAAGTGTAACAAGATTGCGTTCACCTGGGGTGGCGGTCCAGTTGAGAGCGTGGTCCCATTCTCTCCTCCACCTGTCCCTTTGGTCCTGATGGGCGGCGCGGGAGGTCCAGGGGCACAGAGCTCGGGGGCGCGGGACCGTTCCACCTGCACGCTTCGCTTGCTGACACTAATTATCACGGGGGAGAGTGCAAGGCGACACCCCCCCCCGAAAGTCTCGCCTAAGGGCCGAAAGATCGGCCTGGGACGGGTGCTTTTCCGGCTGCTACGTCACAGTATATGTATATTATATTCTCAAGGAGAACAGAAAAGTAAAAATAAAGTCAATTGTATATCATTTTTATCAAAAAATGACATTATTTTAAACTAACTATTCTTCTTGAGTTAATAGGCATTGATAATAAATGTATTAAACAGTCAAATATAATGATAATTAATTACTATCTTAATGCACCAATCAGGCCAATAATAATTAGAATAGTCAAAAAAGCGTCAAAATTATGTCACAGTAACATAAATATAACGTCAAGAAAACATTACAATTTTATGCACTTTGACGAGCCTAATTCTTTCTTGCCCATAATCTGAATCGCGGGCGCGACTGTCTCTCTCTCTCCTTTCCTCTCTATGACAATGCTAAAAAGTTTTGTCTACTCGGCGCACCGAAATTATTACAAATAATATTTCGTTATTAATAATATTATTATTTGTAATATCAGGTGTAGTAAAAAGAAATCCATTATTTTTGCATGAAATTGAAGGCTTTAATTACCATAGTTAGAATGATCCGATTTAAGTCAAATATGCGCCGTTTTGTTCGATAACTTGTTGCCATTTTGAAGGTAATTTCATTATGCCTCTCTCATAGAAGCCCTCGTCTCTATTGGCAAAAAATTGAGACAGTCGATTTTCACAAGCCTCTCTTGAAGCGAATTTTTCACCAGCAAAATTGTTCGCCATGGACAGGAACAGATGGTAATCACTTGATGCCAGGTCCGGACTATAAGGTGGATGCATAAGAACCTCCCAACCAAGCTCCCGGAGCTTCTGGCGAGTCACTATCGATGTGTGTGGCCTGGCGTTGTCCTGATGGAACACAATTCCTCTCCTATTGGCCAAAGCTGGCCGTTTCTGGGCTATTGCTTCCTTCAGACGGTCCAATTGTTGACAGTACAGTTCCGAGTTAAGAGTTTTGCCGTAGGGGAGCAGCTCATAGTAGATAATTCCCTGCCAATCCCACCAAACACACAGCAAAACCTTCCTGGCCGTCAATCCTGGCTTGGCCACCGTCTCCGCCGGCTCACCGCGATTCGACCACGACCGTTTTCGCTTGACGTTGTCGTGATCCACTTTTCATCACCAGTGACCAACCGCTTCAGAAATGGGTCGATTTTGTTGCGATTCAGCAGCGATTTGCAGATGGAAATTCGGTCAATGAGGTTTTTTTTCGTTAACTCGTGTGGCACCCATACATCGAGCTTCTTTTTATATCCAGCCTTATTCAAATAGTTCCAAACGGTTTTTTGTGCAATCTTTAGCTCTTGGGCAATCGAAACAGTGCTTACATGACGGTCGGACTCGACAATGTCCATGATTTTATCGATATTTTCGACAATTGGCCTTCCAGTGCGTGGTGCATCTTTGACATCGAAATTACCGGAACGGAATCGACGAAACCAAAATTGCGCGTGATTGGCTGTTACAGTATCAGGACCATAAACACTATTCACATTTTCAGCCGCCTGGCTTGCGTTTTCGCCTTTATCGAAGAAAAACTGTAAAATATAGCGTATTTTCTCTTTGCTAGTGTCCATCTTTGACGCGCGCTCAAACAAAACTGAGTCAACTAATCACAAAACTGTCAGAAAAGTTTTTTTAGTACGAAATCTCATCTTTCTAACGCCATCTAGTGGAACCCGATTGGACTTATGCAACGCGAGATACAGATAACTAAAGCCATCTATTGGAAAAATAATGGATTTCTTTTTACTACACCTGATATGTATAGATTGTTACTGGGACTTTAAATTGTCAATCTGCTAGCTGCGAGAAACTATATACAAGATAATTTTTCAAGACGATTGACTTCCTGACAATTAGTAAAGAAATCTACAATAGTTATAGCAAGCCTTAAACCCGTTTTACAATAGAATATTTCGCGATATAATTAGCTCTGTGTAGCTTATCACAGAGCTTTAAATGTATTATATATAAACTAGTATTTAATAATAATATATAAATAAATGTAGTATATATAAATCAATGTTAAAAATCGTCTTCAGAGCGATTACTCCAGTTCACTCGAGAACGCTATTGCGGCTTAAGGCTTGCTACACGTATTATATACCCGGCCTAATGGCTCTTGCAAACCAGCACAATGCGTGACGCAATACGCGAGATGCGACGCATGATATCCAATGACTGCAGTTCTCCTGTTTCTCCGGAATAACTGAAGGCTCATTAGATATCACATGTCGCGCGTTGCATGTCGCGTCGCTCATCGCGCTGGTCTGCGAGAGTCATAAGGGACTGTGTACGCTTTTGGGAGTGTTCCGATATTTACTACCAGTATTAAAAATATATAGTGTACATAACGTTAACTATAGACTTTCAATACTGGCAACGAATATTGGAATACAGTGCTGCTTACTAAGCGCTTAGTGATTATCGTTTCTGATTGGTTCATTCCCCTAGATTTGTTAAAGATCTAAAAGAATACTCCAATCATAAATAATAATTACAAAGCATTTGGTAAGCAGTTTTTTTCTGCTGAACGCGGCCAATGACTTCTGTTATTAGTAAACTTTGAATTCGGAACCGACTGGGCAATATTGAACTTGCAGATTGGCGAATGCAATTTAACTGACATATAGGGAATGCCACGGTCTCACTGGCTGCGTTCAGTAGAACAAAGCGCTCACTGAGCGCTTAGTAACTATTGGTCCTTATTGTTATATCCTTACATTCAGATCAATAACGTTGACGAATTACTCAACCGTTGTAACCGTTGTGTTTTCTGAAAGCAGCCAAAATGATCAGTGAGCGCTTAGTGATTATTGTCTGTGGTTGGAGCATTCTTTTAGATTCTTCATAGACCCAAAAGTATTTACCAATCAGGAGCGAGAATCATTAAGCGCTCACTGATCATTTTGTTCTACTGAACGCAGCCATTGGTCGCATTCAGCAGAAAAATTGCTCCGCTACCGTTCCGTAGCAAACGTCTCTGATTGGTACGTCTGTTCGGACCTGCCAAAGATTTTAAAAAATTCTCCAATCATGAACATTTGCTACTGAGTAGTAGCGGAGCAGTTTTCTCCACTGAACGTGACCATTGTTTCAAGTGCGACTGTCGTTACATGACGTATAATAGAAAGTCAATGCATAATGTTTTGCTCGGGACGTATATTTGCTGCAAAACGAGATTCGCCCAAAAAAATACGTAATTATGGAAAAAAATTATTATAAATTATCCGTGTCGCGCAAATCGGTGCATAAGCTGTGTAGAAGACAACAAATTAGGGTTATGTCGGAGATCAGAGAGAACTTGAGTTCACAAAATTCATCTGTATGTACCATTGTCGGTAGGGAATCAATAAAGAATAATAATGTTAAAGATAATCCTGGCTCATCAATTCCGGGCTGTAGTTTTTGGAACAATAGTCTTAATGTTTCCACTGATGATTATGGTATTAGAGATGACACTCATATTATTAATGAATCTTCTTGTTTTTTCTCATCTTCCTCATCTTCATGCGTTTTAGATATTAATAATACGTTGTCATTATCTTCCCATGATTTGTCATTTGTAATCACAAACATTCTTTCGTGAACGATTAGCATCTTGCTTTGTCGACAATAAATTAACTCATATGCAAGGTAATAATGTGTTATCTCTCCTTCGAAAACATCCTTGCTTTTCGAATTTACCTAAAGATGTGAGAACTCTTCTTCATACACCACGAAATCAAGTTGTTACATATAACGTAGAGCCAGGAGAGTACATTCACTTTGATATGGAAGCACGTATCGTTGAAAGTCTGTTAAACGTTTCATTAACATTTATTCCTACACAGCTCCAATTAGATTTTAATACTGATGGATACACATTGGATAGAGCAGGTACTATTCATATCTGGCCTATACAATGTAGAGTATATAATATACAGCAGGCAAAACCCTTTGTTGCAGGGATTTATAAAGATGCACATAAACCTCATGATGCTAATATCTTTTTCGAAAAATTTGTTACTGACATTAGAACAATCCTATCAAATGGTGGCATTAACTTTAATAGCAATAGAATACCAATACAATTGAGATCATTCATAGCAGATGCACCAGCTCGAGCTTTTGTTCTTAATCATGTTGGCCATATGTCTTCGCAACCATGTTCCAAATGTAAAGCTTCAGGCACACAATGTGAACGTCGTAATGTCTTCCATGGAATCAACCATTCTTTGAGAAATGATGACGAATATATCAGATGTGTAGACGAAGATCGTCATAAAGAAGGCACAAGCCTATTATCGTTGCTCTCAATAGGTATGGTATCGCAAGTGCCTTTCGAGTACATGCACCTAGTGTGTTTAGGTGTCATGAAAAAGTTATTGTCTGCGTTAGTATATGGGAAATACATACGCAGAGCAAAACTCTGTGCAAAATCAATTTCTGTAATTAATATTAGGTTGAATATTCTTCGACAATATTGTCCTACTGATTTCGTAAGATACTATAGACCTCTGAATGCATGCTCCAAATATAGAGCTACAGAGCTTCGTCAGATTCTTTTGTACACAGGTATTGTTGTTACTTATGGTGTGTTAGATGAACAATTATACAAGCATTTCCTATTGTTACACTGTGCTATAAGAATTTTAGTATTACAATCTCCATCGAACAAATATCTTGATTTTGCACAACTTGCACTGCAAAAATTTGTCCTTCGTTGTGGTTCTCTTTATGGTGCTACTTTCTATTCATACAATATACACGGTGTTCTCCATCTCACTGACGATGTCAGACGTCTTGGAAGTTTAGATTCCTTTTCAGCTTTTCCATTTGAAAACAACATGTCCATTTTTAGGAAATTTTGCAGGAAGCCAGGTTTACCTCTGCAACAGATGTTTAATAGAATGCAGGAAATACAGATGCACGGAACAAGTGATAATCAGAAAATAGATTCTTCTATTCGTGTCTCCATGCCACTTAATAATGGTGATCATTGTCCTCATTATTGTAAGATCGTAAGATACAATTTGGTAAAATAATGTTAGGTATAGACGTACGAGACAATTGCTGCATCTTATATGATGGATCAATCTGTATTGTTTCGAATATCATTGTATACAATTCTTCGCATTACTTTCAAGTAAGGAAATTTTTGGAAGTAGATAATTTTTATGATATTGGAATAGTATCTTCAGCTGTTAAAATTTATAAGTGCGGCAACTTGAGCAGTGATTTTATAAATGTTAATGTAGACCAGGTTTATGCAAAATGTTATAGAATCCCCTTTTGGGGTTGTACATTAATTGATGATAGTGAGAGTGACGAAGACAGCCATTCAGAAACAACGATGTACATTATTGCTGCGATAATATATACTAAAATAATATAATATGTTCTACGTAATGTTTTTTAGCATTTATTATGAAAGAATGCGACAAGAAGTGCATGATTATTTGATGTCTTGTATTTATGGGCTTAGAATATTTCTGCTTGATTAGTCATTTCTCTGGTTTTATCTTCTTCTTTGTCTGTTCTGCATTTCTATATCTCATATTCATTGTTTCAATATCTGTACAATTTTACCGGATAATGCACATGCGAATTTGTAAATAGAAAAATATGTAACGTGAAATGGACGGTAAGAGTATTAAATTTCTTCATTATTTGTCATACGAGTACAACAGAATATATCTGTCATACACATTCTGCATTTTAATGTTTCATATATTTATGCTTACAGAAATGGAACGACCAAAACGAATAGTGGGTAAACCATCACGCTACGAAACCACATCGTCGGACGAAGTCCCGAAACGCACAAAGATAGGAACAGCAAAAATACTTAATACAAACATTAATGACGACATAGATGATATTCGAAGGACTCTGGAAAGTAATGCACAAAGTAATAATAATGAACATTTTGACAATTCTTTGACACACACATACGTTGAACCACACACGCCCGTAATACCGCACATGTACACACAACCAAACACAAGTAATATAACGTATCCATGCACGTTTCCCAATATTCGTGCCGTAAGCGTATCACAACCAGTATTATCTGCATATGATATACCACAGGCAGAATGTAACAATAACAAAATTTATATTGAGTTGGAAAAGAGAAGAATATATAACATGCAGCCTAATGCACAGAACGAACAACCGCCGCAGAATCAGACTAACTCAGATATTAACGTGCAGAGCATTGAGCAGACTGACAATGGGTATGCTAATTAATATGTACTTTTTACTAATATTTAAAAATATTTCTAATAAAAAATAATTATATAATAATATTTAAAATAACATTGGTCTGTGTTGTTAATGTTGATAAATATTTGCAGGTTAATAAAGGAACGTTTATGTTGTATAGAAGCTGAGTTAAAGTAATTATAACATATACTGCTTTAATTAATTAAATTATAACATATACTGCTCATATTAATAAGTGACGTGTTAATAATATTCTGATTTTTCTTTACGCGTTTTGCAGAAAGATGAATGCTACACTCGAAAAGATAATGAAATTCATACAAAAATCACAATCAGCATCGCGTAAGCCTACTAGTTTTCCAATATCAACGTTGGCTGACATGGACAAATTCGAAGATGTCGATGACGAAGAGTATTCTAATGCGGCAAGTGACAATAAAAACAACTTTTTATTGTATACAGGCTATATTTTATGGATCGCCCACAAAGTATACAGCCATTACCCTTAATAAAAATGGAGTCAAAATACCCATATTATTTTTATTTGCTTCATATAGCAGTAATTCTAAAGTCGAGCATAATCAATTAGCGCCATTATTTTTTACACGGATATATGTCCATAAGCCGTACACATATAACGATCGCATACGCGCACTATTAGATAGGCTGATCAGTTAAACTTAATTAAATAATTACTACTTTTAAGTATCTTGGAAAAAAGTGGCACAGGACTTTTTGATTCAGGTTTTTGAAAAATATTTTGAGCAACTATATTATTTAGTGGGTGGTCGATAAGAATCACTGTAAATTTTGTGTTCATTCTAGTTATACACATTTTTATTTTTGCCTTTTAAAATTTTCTTTAGGTACAGTATTTTCATGATATCGGTAACTTCAATGCAAAGGAAGCAGTAAATTTATGCCTAAAAGAAAGTCTTCATGATTCTTTAACGCCATCCTTCACATGGTGGGACCGTGAAGGATAGTGGCCTTTTTATAAAGCACGGCTTGTTAAGGCCATTTATGGTGCGATACTTTTAATTGCCGTTTGCATGCACATAATTGTTATATTATTACTAATAATGCATTTTGTCTTCCTTTTTCAGATGCCGTGTGTAACAGCCGCTACTTTGAGAAGCCGACTCGGGCACATTTTCAATGTTACATGAAAGAGGCTCTCCGGGCAGCAAAAGAAAGGATACGGAGCAGTTTACGTAGTCCGCGCACGCAAAGCATACGAGGAAATAGAAATCGCCGTGATTTTTGGACCGATGACAGAATAGAGGAGGAGACAGATTTACCGAACGAAAATTAAGTACGTAGATAATTTTATTGCATTCTTCTCAAAAATAAATATTAGATGAAGCATACAAATACAGTAGCACTAAATAATGATGCTCAATCTAAATCACTAATCCTGGACAGATTCTAACGAAGAAAACGGTTGCTGTCCACTCAGCTGACTGCCGATTTGACTCTGGAATGTAGTGATGGATCCATGTTTCATCCATTGTCACATACCGCATCAAAAAATCCTTTTTATTGCGCTGAAACAGCTCCAAACACCCCGCTGAATCATCGACGCGTTGCTGTTTTTCATTGACTGTGAGCAAACGCGGTACCCACTTCGAACCACTGTAACTTGTGAACTAAACGTCCGGTTGTCATGAAATTTTGACACGTATCATTTGAAGGTTAGTACTTCCTAAAAATCATATAGATTTGTCAATAGTAGCGCCATTTATGTGTCATCCTACGAACTTATTGAGTGATATGTTATATATACAGTGTGTATTTTTAATGTCCCCCTCCAAATAACTCTACAGTATTGAAGTTTCAAGGAAAATGATCCGAATAAAAGTTGTAGGAATTTAAGTGAGCTGCCTTATGATGACCTTGACTTTGACCTTGACCTCTATTTTCAAGGTTATTTGAAGATCAACTTGCGTACTTTAAATGGGAACTCTTATTTTTCATTACACTGTTTTTTTCTACTAGTTAATTTGAACAACTTTTGTCTAAAACATTTTTTTATTTGTCTAATATTTTTTGAGATATTTGAGGAAAACTTGATAACTTTTTCAATATTTAACTTACGATATCTCGCTAAATATTTGTCGGAAGAAAAAGTGGTACTAAACTTTCTTGCTTTATTTACTCTCAAGAATATATTGTTACAATAGCGCTCTGATTTTTGTTAATTTGATGATTTTGAAATTTCCAAAATTGAATAAGTTAACAAAAGTCAAGGCGCTATTGTAACAATATATTCTTGAGACTAAATAAAGCAAGAAAGTCTAGTATCACTTTTTCTTCCGACAAATAGGTAATGAGATATCCTAAGTTAAATATTGAAAAAGTTATCAAATTTTCCTCGATTATCTCAAAAACTATTAAACAAATAAAAAAATGTTTTAGACAAAAGTTGTTCAAATTAACCAGTAGAAAAAAACAGTGTAATAAAAAATAAGGATTCCCGTTTAAAAAATGCAAGTTGACCTTCAAATGATCTTGAAAAAAGCGGTCGAGGTCAAAGTCAAGGTCATCACAAGGTAGCTCACTTAAACCCCTACAACTTTTATTCAGATCATTTTCCTTGAAATTTTAATACTGAAGAGTTATTTGAGGTGGAACATTAAAATGGGACACCCTGTATATATACAGGGTGTTTTATAGCTAATCATGCATTTCATAGCTAATCATGCAGACGAAAGTTGGAGATAGATTGGGTGGGAGCCGAAAAGAAAAGTCATGTACCATAATGTCAAATTGGCAATAGTTATCGAGTTATTAATTAAAACATGTGAGCCAACGAGCGTGTAGAGAGCAGAGGGCGACCGCAGTAAGCACATAGACATTTGATACAGGCGGAGTCAGCAAGTGACGGTAGGCGAACGCGCGCGGCGAGGGACAACGTAAACGACAAGAGGCGAGTGCGCGCGACGAGGAGCGAGCGAACGCAAGCGACAAGAGGCGAGCGAGTGCGACGAAGAGCGAGCGAGCGCGAACGACGAGGAGCGAGCGAGCTATAAAGAAAAAGCTATAAAGAAAAAGCTCGCTCGCTCCTCGTCGCGCGCGATCGCCTCTTGTCGCTTACGTTGCCCCTCGCCGCGCGCGCTTGCCTAACGCCACTCGCTGACTCCGCCTGTATCAAATGTTTACGTGCTTACTGCGGCCGCCCTCCGCTCTCTACGCGCTCGTTGGCTCACACATTTTAATTAATAAGTCGGTAACTATTGCCAATTCGACATTATGGTACATGACTTTTCTTCTCGGCTACACCCAATCTATCTCCAACTTTTGTCTGCATGATCAGCTATCAAACACCCTGTATATGTACAGGGTGTAATAAAAAGTACTGGGACAGTGAAATATCACTGAAACTAAACATTTTAGAAAATAATGTTTCAAATAAGAATTATAGGGTTTCAAAAGATCTATTTACTGACATTATGAGTTTGACTTTGGGTGGCGTCGTCAAGGTCAGAACAAGGTTACCTAGAATTTTTTAAATAGGACCCCCTATTTTTTATTACATATTTTTGTAGCCCTTCAAACCTTTTTAAAGCATTATACTTTTTTCGACTTTGAGTAAGCTGTTGCGAAGTTATCGAGCTTTTTATGATAAGATGTTCAGTCAGCGGCTGGAGCAATTTCATATTTCTTGTATTTATAACTTGTATTTATAACTTGTGTTTCATACACATGTAATATTAAAGTAATACTAATGTACTAAATTTATAACAGCACTAAAATTCACCTTCGAATCATTTCAAATCAATGAATTTGATTTGAAATAGAACAAATTACTGATACAGTACATGATACGCGTTGTTTCATACGGAAAAGATAAATGATTGTTGTTATTGATTTTTCTTTCTTTAATTGAATTATCGATTTTGTTATCTAATTAATACAAATTTCTGTTTATTGGATAAATCTTTTTGTTTCCTGGCTTATTCGTTAGACTTTACTTTTTCTTTTAGAGATTAACATTATTCTCAAACGCTTTTGCAGAAGATGCTGTTTCAGATTTTTATCATCGATTAAGCGCATTGTCAAACAATGAATGATGAACAATTTGATACATTAATCAAGCTTTTAATTGCTAGTTTTCCTTTATGATCATCTTTCCTTGGTTGGCTGGATACTTCTTTGATCTTGTCTTGGCTGGCTGGACACTTTTTTTATCTTGCCTTGGCTGGCTGGATACTTCTTTGATTTTGTCTTGACTGGCTAGATACTTCTTTGATCTTGCCTTGGTCGGCTGGACATGTTATCATAAGAAGCTCAATAACTTCGAAACGGCTTACTCAAAGTAGAAAAAATTATAGTGCTTTGAAAAGGACCGAAAAAGGGCTACAAGAATATACAATAAAAAATAGGGGCTCCCATTTAAAAATTCAAGGTGATCTTATCCTGACCTGGGCGATGCCATTCAAGGTTAAACTCATAATGTTAGTAAATAGATCTTTTAAAACGCTACAATTTTCATTTGAGACATTTTTTTCTAAAATGCTTAGCTTTATGATATTTATCCCGGTTTTTATATATCCTGTGTATATATTGACTTAATAAATATTATAAAGAGGTTATAATCAATAGGTTCCACGATGGAAATGAAGGATTTTTATTCATGTATTTCTTTATGCGTTATGCAAGAGTCTATGCTTTCTATTGTACAATCTTTATTTTGTCCTTGTGGATTATATTATTAGCATGTATAACACTAATTCTATTGTCTCTGTTTGTAGGACATTACAAAAGATAATCTGACGACTGCTACAAGGAGAATTGATGATTGATGAACGAATACCATTTAGGACGGAGTAAAGAAGGCCGAAATATAGAATATAAAATATAGAAGAATCTATATTACAGAGAAAATGTTCGTTTAGGCCAAAAGTGAAAGATTTTGCGCATAAGTTCTTCTACATCATAATAACGTAAATACATGTATTTTTTTTATTATTCAAGTTTATTTTATATTAGTTTATTATATACTATTTTATTTTATTTAGTCACGTTAAAAAATGCATTTAGCGTTTTAAAAATGTTACATATTTTGGATTCTTATGTTCTCCTATGTGGCCTGTGTACATGCATGTATATTGTACATGTTTTCTACTATGTAGCCTCTTTACACGAACAGGAAAACATTACACGTTGCATTGCGTTAAGCGACAGGCGATGACTTTGTACAATGTTGTACAAGAATTACTTCGTTGGAATTAAAGTACATAATGATTAAAAAAAAAGTACCAAATACGTTAATAAATATATTGCACGTAATACAAATATACGATTCTTTCGTTATTTTTACATAAGACATTATTTCTATTAGGATTTGCTAATTCTCAATAAGTTAATTATCTCAAAAATTTTATTTTGCGTAGTTATGTATTAAGAATTAAAGTCTCAACAAAAATCTATATATATGTTTATAATATTTAACGTAATTGACAAAATTGTACTTTCCTTGTAAATTATAGTTAATAACGATCATAGTTCACCTCTCCACATTGTATTGTATTTATTTCTTATTAAATACTAAAGCAGAAAAAGTAGAGAACAAAATGGTATGGGATTTAAATACCAATTTAAATGATCATTTAAAAACCTGTGTGTCCAGCCATTCCATTTAATGAAACGACAGAATCTGCTCACATTCTGCCACCAATCTGCTGTCAGAATTTGTCAGCAGGAACTGCGCGCATTCTGCCGCCAATTTGCTGTCAGAGTATGTTAGCAGACTCTGCACGTACGCTGCCGCCAATCTGCCGTCAGATAATGTACACAGGCTTTGTCGACAGATCACAAGCCGTGCGCGGACACAGATGTCTCGAATCTGTCAACAGTGCCTGCTCGAATCTGTCGCCAATCTGACGTCAGTCTGCGTACAGATTGTTTACTGGGATGTTATATAATAATATAATGCGTTCAAATTTGCGAAAACAATTCAAAACTTTTGATATTTTTGTGTATTTATTGTAACAGATAAAACCGGACATTATCTCTCTCATGAACAGATAAAACCGGACATTAATCTCTCTCATGAAAAATAATTATGGAAAGTTTATAAATTCTTAATCCACAAAAGATTAGGAATTTATAAATTTTCTGTAATGAGTAATGAAGTAATTAATTTCTTAGTGTTTGGTTTTATCTATTATAGTAAGTATGCATAACATTTTTAAACTTGCGAGTTTTAATATATTACATTTTTAATAAAAATATTTTCCTTGCCAACATAATTTCTTTTTAATATAATGCTAATATAAATTTGTAAATTATGTTAATAATATATATGTTTGTGAACTAATGAATGTGGTTTATTATTACAGCTAATGAACTTCTGATTATTCCTGATACATTGGAAACAAGGCAATTTTTTAATGTCAGAGAGACCAATATCTATTCAGGTATATATATTTAAATAAATAGATCATTAGCTTTTTTTATTATCTTTTCCTTTAATTGATACAATCGTTCTATTACAGAAAGTTTAGATACTGAAAGTGATTCTGTACTTTCACTGAATACTGAAGTAAATACTGAAGCAAACATAGATGACGTTATCATACAGAATAATAACAATTCCGGTATATATTTTTAAATAAATATAAGTTTGGTTTCACTAATTGTATAATTCTTTCATTGATATTGTGCAATTGTATTGTACTGCAGAAAATTATACTACGAGTTCCACTGTATCCGATTGTACAGCAGCTAGGTGGACAGATGCCAATGCTGTGAAAGCACTTATTTCAAATTGGAAGGAACATGAAAATGATTTCAAAAATCATAATATAAGAAACAATAAAGTATGGCAAATGATTGCGGATGATTTGAAAAAAACAAATTCTTTGTGGAATTTCACTGGCACTCAGTGCGAGAATATATTTAAGGATGTTAGGAAAGCATGTACTAAAGTGAAAGATCACAATAATGAAAGTGGAGCAGAACTTAAAACATGTAAGTTTTATGATAACATGGAGGTTGCTTTAGGAGACAAACCAATAGTGAAACCAATTTCAATATCATCGTCACTGAAGAAAAGGGTATATCCAAATGTAAAGAGAGCAATATCGCCATGTACTTCTGACACTTGTGATGAAAAGGAAAATGTGTCGCTAAATAAACCACAAACAAATAGGAAGAAAAGTAAAGTAGCAAGAGAATTACAGAAATTGAGTGCACAACAGAGTGCAGTGGCAGAGGAAAGGGAACAAGCAAAAATGCAGCGGCATAGGGAGAAGATGGAGAAACAAGATAAAACCATAGCAGTAAGATTTAAGCCAGAAAAAATAAAATAAAGAAACAAGAAGCAGAAAGCACATTGTATATCTGGACTAATACATAACGTAACATTATCTTATTACATAATTTCTTAATATTTAGTTCAGTTACAAATATTATAATTTTATAAATAAGTGTTTGATACTAAAAATTTTAACTGTAAGACTGAAATGCTTCCGTTTTTCTAGTCAGCAGCTTCTTGTTTGCTAATATAAAAAGTTAATATTAATAATTAAAAAGTTAAGATTAATAATATAAAAGTTAAGTATTATAAAAGTGAAGATTATGCAATTAACCTTCTTCTTGGTTAAGTTTGTAACGAGGAGTTTTACTCCCGTTACCATCGTGTGACGGCGACCACCGATCGTCACACGATCGCGAGAAATCATCGCTAAGCGCCCGGCAACACCTATGCCGCGGCAACCCGCCAGACCGCCGGAAAAAGCCGAATTCTGCGAAGCGGTCGGGGAAGATCGGTCCCCCCAGAAAGGGGTAATTCGCGGAAATCGCATGCGCGACTTTCCGGGAAATCGGGGGGAACTAATCCCCCGATTATCGGCCACCGATCGTCGAGAGGAATTTAGGGTATAAAACCCGCTCTCGACGAGAGATCGAGGCAGACCGTGAGAGACAGTGAATCCACCAGATCAGCTACCAAGGAGAGCTCCAGCGAGAATCGTGAAGAGAAGTCAACGAGAAGGCAAGGCATCCGCCGGTGAGTAAAGCTTCCACACCGTACCGAACCACCGGGAACTTTTACAAGACCCGGCAGCCGAGCCTCGTCGGCCGAGCAGGCATCGCGACTTTACCGTACTTGTCCGTCTGTGTCGGCAGCAGTTAGCCACCGACATAGAATATCTCTAAGTCTCCGTTCGTGAGATTACCGTATTCATCCCTCTGTGTCGGCAGCAGTTAGCCACCGGCACAGAATATTTCTAAGTCTCTGTTCGCGAATTTACCGTATTCGTCCGTCTGTGTCGGCAGCAGTTAGCCACCGACACGGAATAATTCTAAGTCTCTGTTCGCGGATTTATACGTATTCGTCCGTCTGTGTCGGCAGCAGTTAGCCACCGACATAGAATAATTTCGAAGTTCTGTTCGTGAATATAAGTGCTCGTCCGTCTGTGTCGGCAGCAGTTAGCCACCGACATAGAATATTTCTAAGTATCTATTCGCGGATTCATACGTGCTCGTCCGTCTGTGTCGGCAGCAGTTAGCCACCGGCACAGGATATTTCTAAGTATCTGTTCGCCGATTTACAAGTGTTCGTCCGTCTGCATCGGCGGCCGTTGGCCACCGACGTAGAATATTCCCGAAGCATCGGTTCACGGAATTATCAGTGCTTGTCCGACTTTGTGACTGTGGTACGCTGCCCGGAATAAACCACCTCCCGCTTATCCAAAGAACAGCTGGCGTAAGTCGCCCTCAACAGGACTCGTGGCCGAGGACGTCGGACCGCCAAGAGGCCGCGGAACCTCCCCTCTGATCCCGCGGATAGGGGACCATCCTTGCGGCTACGCAGGAAGCACGGGCACTAAGGAACGGACATCGCCGACGCCACACCGGGCCAGCGAGTCGCCCACATACACTTATATATATATATCTTATATAGCATCGAACGTCTTTTAAATAAACGGGGGCGCCTTGCGGGACGCACCCAACTTGTTAATACAGAAACGCTGAACACACATTTCTTCCGAGAAGCTACCTTGAATCAGCCCTTCACCCGAGTAACGCACCGACGCGGCGGCGAGCGAGGCGTCGCGGAAGCGGCGAGCCGGGCGCGACGGTGGGGCGACCGATCGCACCGAATCCCGCGGGCGTTACCGTTACAAGTTTTGTATCTAACATTGTACGCGGAGAATTAACATAAGATAATACATGTGATTTTACAATGTTAGAGATACAATTCAATTAAAAAGAGAATTTTTAGTGATGTTTTCGTTATTATTTGTAAATTATACAATATCGTACTTATTATATTTAAATGTTCTTAGTGAACTTTATTGTCAAATAACTAACCATAATAATATTTTAATAACTATTTTAATAATTATAAAATTTTATATCTTAAGCAGTATATGACTTAAATGTTTACATACTTATATAGTGACTTACAAGGAAAAAGATTAAGTTGATTATATATCACTATTAAGGTTGAACGACAAGTGCACACAAATAATCACGTTTTATTTGTCCAGCTTTTTTATTTGGTACACTCCCAACATAAGCCTTCTCATCCTCAATTTCCATACCTTCATATATGAAATCATGTACATCATTTTCATCGACACCATTCAAACAGATATTATGCAATATTGTACAAGCAATTATAACAAAGGGAATCATGTCATCTCGATTCATATCGAGAAACTTTAGTCCACGAAATCTGCCTTTCAATAGTGCAAATGCACTTTCAATCACTGACCGTTTTGATGAAAGAATGGCGTTAAATCTCTTCTGGGCCTGAAAGGATATTATAAAGTATATAAGTATTTCAATCAGTTTATTGGAAAAAAAATATAATATGTAACGGAATTACATCTTACAGGCGTAAGTTGACCACGATCAATGTATGGAGTAATATATCACGTTAAGACAGGGTATGCCTTATCACCAATAATAAACTCATCATATGGGAAATAGGCCTGTTTATTCACTTGAATTTTATTCCATAGATCTGAATATCTTAATACTCTCAGGTCTCCCACAGAACCTGCAAATCCTGCAAAACAGTCTATGAATTTCATGCAGGCATCACAGATTGCTTATAAAATTATTGCGTATGACTTCTTATATGTTCTATAATATTAGGAGTCAACCTAGAAGAAAAGAATTAATACATGAAATCATTTTTTTCCAGCCAACAGTTTAATGTCATAATTATAATGACATCTCAATACTACAAATATCAATAATATAACATTGATGTTACAATATCAGCTAAAAAATGTGATATATTTTGTAATTGTTATATATTACGTAATATATACATAACATTTATCTGCTACATAACATATCATATCAGGTGTAGTAAAAAGAAATCCATTATTTTTCCAATAGATGGCTTTAGTTATCTGTATCTCGCGTTGCATAAGTCCGATCGGGTTCCACTAGATGGCGTTAGAAAGATGAGATTTCGTACTAAAAAAACTTTTCTGACAGTTTTGTGATTAGTTGACTCAGTTTTGTTTGAGCGCGCGTCAAAGATGGACACTAGCAAAGAGAAAATACGCTATATTTTACAGTTTTTCTTCGATAAAGGCGAAAACGCAAGCCAGGCGGCTGAAAATGTGAATAGTACTTATGGTCCTGATACTGTAACAGCCAATCACGCGCAATTTTGGTTTCGTCGATTCCGTTCCGGTAATTTCGATGTCAAAGATGCACCACGCACTGGAAGGCCAATTGTCGAAAATATCGATAAAATCATGGACATTGTCGAGTCCGACCGTCATGTAAGCACTGTTTCGATTGCCCAAGAGCTAAAGATTGCACAAAAAACCGTTTGGAACTATTTGAATAAGGCTGGATATAAAAAGAAGCTCGATGTATGGGTGCCACACGAGTTAACGAAAAAAAACCTCATTGACCGAATTTCCATCTGCAAATCGCTGCTGAATCGCAACAAAATCGACCCATTTCTGAAGCGGTTGGTCACTGGTGATGAAAAGTGGATCACGACAACGTCAAGCGAAAACGGTCGTGGTCGAATCGCGGTGAGCCGGCGGAGACGGTGGCCAAGCCAGGATTGACGGCCAGGAAGGTTTTGCTGTGTGTTTGGTGGGATTGGCAGGGAATTATCTACTATGAGCTGCTCCCCTACGGCAAAACTCTTAACTCGGAACTGTACTGTCAACAATTGGACCGTCTGAAGGAAGCAATAGCCCAGAAACGGCCAGCTTTGGCCAATAGGAGAGGAATTGTGTTCCATCAGGACAACGCCAGGCCACACACATCGATAGTGACTCGCCAGAAGCTCCGGGAGCTTGGTTGGGAGGTTCTTATGCATCCACCTTATAGTCCGGACCTGGCATCAAGTGATTACCATCTGTTCCTGTCCATGGCGAACAATTTTGCTGGTGAAAAATTCGCTTCAAGAGAGGCTTGTGAAAATCGACTGTCTCAATTTTTTGCCAATAGAGACGAGGGCTTCTATGAGAGAGGCATAATGAAATTACCTTCAAAATGGCAACAAGTTATCGAACAAAACGGCGCATATTTGACTTAAATCGGATCATTCTAACTATGGTAATTAAAGCCTTCAATTTCATGCAAAAATAATGGATTTCTTTTTACTATACCTGATATGTTTGAGCTGATATTGTAACATTCATTTTATATTATTGATATTATTTATATTTATAGTTTACTGAAACTATACATAAATTGTGTAGTTACACACTTTAGGAGCTTTTATAAATATATGTGTGCCATCAATGGCACCAATTATACCTCGTAATAATGAGTTGCTATTGAAATTTACTTTTACTCTAACAAGTTCATCCCCTCTTGGCCAAGAAATAACTTGACTTGCTATGTCGTTTAAACATTCGATAATTCTCATAAAACTATTGTTCAAAGAACTCTTAATAACTGATGAATATTTCGATTTACATCGAAAATATCACCAGAAGTTATATACATTGCGATTTTATTATGCATTTCCGTGTCTCACGCATGATAGCATATGAAATTATTGCACGTTTCTCAGTATCAGATATTTTTACATCATTACAAGGTATTGTATTGATATTTACAATCCACTACAACTTGTTGTAATTGAATGTTATGAAATATTCTTATTATGAACTAATATTACAGAACATGCAGGTTATATGCCAATAACAGCGGAAAAGCATGTTTTAACTTACTTATGGTATGTCGGTCACGAGAGTACAGGATATCGTGATGTGGCAGACAGGTTTGGAATTGCTATAAGTACCCTGTATGCTATTATAACAAGGGTTACAAGATTTTTAATGCAACTTGCTCCACATATAATACAATTTCCTACACTGGAAGAGAAAGAAGCAACAATGGCATATTTTTTGGAGACGAAAAGATTTCCTGGAATTATTGGTGAGTTTATATTATTTATAATTAATACATTACTTAAACAACTGGCAACAATATATTGACATAGATATATTTTTATACATTTCTTTCTCTAGGTGCTATAGATGGCACACATATTCGAATTGACAAACCACAAAATGATCACGAGTCGTATATTAATAGAAAACAATATTTTCCTATATACCTGCAAGGTGTTGTGGATCACAAGATGAAATTTATTGATGTATTTATTGGTTACCCTGGATCAGTGCATGATGCGCGAGTGTTTCGAGAATCTCTTTTGAATGAATCTCTTGCAGAAATTTGTCCAAGTAAAATGCATATAAATAATATTATATACATACATACACGCAATATATATATATATACGAGGGCGGTCCGATAAGTACTTAGCCTCACCGCCCGATGGCGCCACTATCGCAAGAAAAATTTATTATCGTGTAGTACATTCTCGTAGACGGCTACTGTCGAAATTTCAGTCGAATCGGACTCTTAGTTTTGTTTTGACCGCGTGTGGAAGCGGGCGTGTCCGCGGATTTTAGAAAAATAGAAAAAGAGCAATATCGGTCGGTGATTCGATTCTTGTTTTTGGAAGGGAAATCGCGCAATGAAATCAAAGAGCGCTTGGATGCTGTGTACGGTGAATCTTCTCCTTCGATGGCGACCGTCAAAAATTGGTTTAACGAGTTTCAACGTGGTCGCACGTCGGTGTTTGATGAGCCATGCCCAGGTGCCCCGAAAACGGCTACCACGGAGGATAACATGACAAAAATCCACGATCTCGTATTGGCAGACCGCCGATTGAAGGTTCGCGAGATAGCTGAGACAGTAGGCATCTCAAAAGACCGCGTGGGTCATATCCTGCATGAGATTTTGAGCATGAGAAAGCTGTTGGCGCGATGGGTGCCGCGTTTGCTCACTCCGGACAACAAGCGCAACCGTGAAACCACTTCAGAGCAGTGTTTGACGCTGTTTAAGCGCAATCCGAAGGGGTTTCTGCGTCGTTTCGTGACCGTCGACGAAACATGGATCCACTGGTACACACCAGAGACCAAGGAACAGTCGAAACAGTGGACTTCACCCGGCGAACGTGCTCCGAAGAAGGCGAAGACTGTCTTATCGGCCGGAAAGGTGATGGTCACCGTTTTCTGGGATTCACAAGGTGTGATCTACATCGACTACCTGGAGAAGGGCAAAACGGTCACAGGGCTGTACTATGCCGAATTACTGGGCCGATTCGACGCCGAATTGCAGAAAAAACGGCCCCATTTGGCGAAGAAAAAAGTGCTCTTCCACCATGACAACGCACCGGCTCACACCTCGCCCTCGCCACGGTCAAATTGGTCGAATTGGGCTACGAACTGCTGCCCCATCCACCGTATTCTCCAGATTTGGCTCCGTGCGACTTCTTTTTGTTTCCAAACTTGAAAAAGTCACTCGCCTGGCAGAAATTTGAGTCGAATGAGGAGGTCATCGCCGCCACGGAGGCCTACTTTGCAGACCTCGAGAAAACGTATTTTTCAGACGGGTTAAAGAAGTTGGAGCATCTCTGGGTCAAGTGTATCGAGCTAAAAGGAGACTATGTTGAGAAATAAATCGCCACTTTTCCAAAATTTTCGTTTTTCTTTTGTAGGCTAAGTACTTATCGGACCACCCTCGTATATACAGGGTGCACGATATATCTGAAGACATTGAAATATCTCGAGAACTATGCATTGGATAAAAAAAAGTGATTAATGAAAGTTGTTAGACTCAAAGGGGGACATCCAATGATACCAAACCCGACTTCCCACCCCACCCCCTGGTGGTTGGGGTTGGGGGCGACTTTGAAATCTTAAATAGAAATCCCCATTTTTTATTGCAGATTCGGATTCTACGCCACAAAATACGTAAATTTTGTCCGAAACTTTTTTTTTCATTCGTGATAGCTGGCGCTGTAATCGCAAAAAATTATATTTTCCGCAATTCTCCAGAAATGATCATTGGATTGAGAAATAAAAAATACCTGTTCAATATTTTTAAAGAACATAAAAGTTATGCCCCCCCATCCTCTCGGGGTAGGGTGCGTGATAACGTTCAAATATCAAATGGGGACCCACATTTTTCATTACAGAATTAGTACGTGAAATTTTTATTGAAACAATTTTTTTCATTCGTGATAGATAGCGTTGAATTTTCCGAGAAACTACTTTTAGCGTTACACAGGAACAACGACGAGGATGTAGTAGTTTTATGTTCCCTTCGGGTGCTTTTTTAATGTGAGTCCCCTTGCCTCTCACTGTTCAATTAATTAGAGTAAGTGTTCGAAATTTTTACCTTCAACTTCAATACACTTATTGATCCTTTTTTCAAATGACTGTACACAGGATAGAAGCATATCTGCGGGAGTTTCGACGCAAGCGTTTCTTATGCGTTCTACCATGTTTTCACGAGTTGTTGGCACTTGTTGATAAACCTTATCTTTTAGGTAACCCCACAGAAAGAAATCTGGCGATGTCAAATCAGGCGACCTAGCAGGCCAATTAATCGGGCCACCTCTGCCAATCCACCGACCATTGTAATCACGGTCTAATACTTCTCGTGCTGCTATTGAGTTATGCGCTGGGCAACCGTCATGCTGAAACCACATACTTTGTCGAACGTCCAAGGCAACATCAAGTAGTGGTGGTAGTTCCTGTTCCAGGAAATTTCGATATTTGATTCCATTCAAATTACCTTCAATAAAATAAGGACCAATGAGTCTGTTCCCTATGATTCCACACCAAACGTTAACCGACCAAGAACGTTGATGTTCAACTTGTCATAACCAGTGGGGATTTTCTACACTCCAGTAATGCATGTTATGTCGATTAACGCCACCATGGTTTGTGAATGTAGACTCATCTGAAAATAGTACATTAGCAATGAAATTGGGGTTCGTTTGCATTTGTTGAAGTGCCCATTCACAAAACACCACTCGATTATGAAAATCATCGCCATGAAGTTCTTGATGCAGTGAAATGTGATATGGGTGATACTTATGACGATGCAATATTCTGCGAATACTATCTCCGGAAATTCCGAAATCGCGATGTAATTGCCGAGTGCTTACCTGTGGGTTGTGGTGAACAGCTGCTAGCACAGCTATTTCATTAACTTCTCCTGTAACAGTTGTTCTTCGTTTTCTTTTTTTAGTTTGTACGCTGCCATCCGAGATAAAGGCAGTCACAACTTTGTAAAACAAAAAATGTGAGCGAACATTGTCTGGAAAACGCTCAGCATACAAGGCAACAGCATCGTCAACATTCCTCCTACATTCACCATAAATCAGAATCATTTCAAGTTTTTCTTCTACGGTTGCAGAATTCATTTTCCACTTGCAATTCTGTTCGAAGAATGAAGGGTAGATATGCAGGTAATAAAAACTAGTCAAATAAAATGAAATTGTTAGAGATACTTTCAGTTCTAATTCTGAAAGAAAAGTGAGCTCTGACCGCATTGCACTGCCTTTTATAATAAGCCGTAGTTCGCCATACACCCACAGTGGCGCGTCGAGCAGTTCCCTCTTCGATTCGGGTTCCCATTTGAGATTTGAACGTTACCACCCACCCTACCCCGAGAGGATGGGGAATAACTTTTATTATGTTCTTTAAAAATATTGAACAGGTATTTTTTATTTCTCAATCTAATGATCATTTCTGGAGAATTGCGGAAAATATAATTTTTTGCGATTACAGCGCCATCTATCACGAATAAAAAAAAAGTTTCTGACAAAATTTACGTATTTTGTGGCGTAGAATCCGTATCTGCAATAAAAAATGGAGGTTTCCGTTTCCGTTTAAGATTTCAAAGTTGCCCCCAACCCCAACCACCAGGGGGTGGGGTGGGAGGTCGGGTTTGGTATCATTGGATGTCCCCCTTCGAGACTAACAACTTTCATTAACCATTTTTTTTATCCAATGCATAGTTCTCGAGATATTTCAATGTCTTCAGATAAATCGTGCACCCTGTATATATATATGTATACATATATAATTTAATTGTTTCAGGAGAATCGTATTTAGTTGGGGACAGTGCCTATCCCTGCTTAGAACATTTGATTGTTCGAGACAATTTTGATATCGAAACAATGGACATCTAACACATGCACAAAGCGTGGCGATTTAATGAAAGACTAAGTTCGTGTCGTGTAATAATAGAAAATGCATTTGGTTGCTTAAAAGATTTAGACAACTTTATCATTTAAAATTACGCAATATTGGACATATAGTCCAAGTAATACACGCGTGTTGTGTTTTGCACAATTTAGCTAATAGTTGCGATTTAGAATTATTAGAATCGTCATTAAGGGGATCCTGGAGTCGTCTGTTTTACCGACAAATTGACTCAATTTTCTCAAACACTATTCTTTTTATTAGCTATACAGATTGAAAAATCCTTTTGTACAGCGAAAGTACTTATAATAACGAAGTACGGAACATAAAGTTTTATGTCAAATTCAATGAAAAATTACAAAATTACAGTTTCGTTATCATGTTTTGCGTCAGCTCGTAACTTTACTTATTAATTATAACAATTCTGCAGTTTATCTATGCAAAAGCTTTGCTTCCGTACTAGCCATAATATGAAAGAATAATACTAAAGTAACAAAAGTGAGCTCAGAAATCAGTGTAAAAAGAATAGTATTTGAGAAAAAATGGCTTGGATGTGTGTGTAAGCGGAATATTTTTGCTACACTTTGGGGTAAAACAGAACAGTAGATTAGTTCCGCATAATCGTAATCGATGGAGCTGCAAGCAGACACAATCTAGAGACCCTTTACTAGAGATTGGCTATCAGGGGGTTCCGCGTGATTGGTGCACGTAACCTGTGCCCGGAAAATGGCGGAGCCAATACGGAACCCTGCTCACTGAGCGTGAACAGGCATAAAATTTGAATTGAAAATATACGCTCGCACTCCGAATTTATAGTGATATCGCTAAATGAATTATGTATACATAATAATTAAACGAAATAATGATTTACAAATTTATTTTATGAAAATACACTACTGGGTTTGCTAAATTAATGTTGTATACATAATGATTATACGAAATAATGGTTTATGAATGTATTTTATAAAAAATGCGTCGTAAGTAAATAAATATTATATATAATAGGGAATTAATAGTAATCACAAATGATATAATACCGAAAGGAAATATGTTTATTATCATTTTTATTTATATATTGTAATCTCAGGTACAATTGTTGAAATACCCTTACGAAAAAAACACTCGACAAAGCGAAAAAACACTCAAATATTGAGTGTTTACACTCAATTTGAATGTAAACACTCAATATTTGAATGTTTTTTCGTATCGTTGAGTGTTCCTTTCGTAAGGGTAATGTTAAACAATAATATAACTTAAAGAACTATCGTACATAATGTTAACTTAAATACAAAATGTTATGTGGCTAATGAAAAGTAATTAAATTATGGCAATGCATGCGATAATACTATCGTACTATCGCATGCATTGCCATAGTTTTACTATTATACATTTTATTTGGTAATTTGCGTTTGTAGTTGCCTAGTCGAAGTCTAAATCTAATAAAACGCATCATAATTTTAGATTTTATATTGTGACAGTTTTTCAAAACATCACATTGAATGCACTGCAGTTTTTCCTTAAAAAAATTTACTAAATCAAAACTTGTTGCATCAAAATTATTTATAAAATATGGAAGATATTGCCTAAAGACAATTTCCATCTGGTGAAAATAATAAAATGTTCCGCTATTGACAAAAAATAACGTATTACGTTTAAAACGTTTTAATTGTACAAATGTTGCAAAATTTGAGATCGGTTTATATGTGGGAGATCCAGCGGACTTTAAACATGATTGACATGTAACATTATATTTGGAAATACGGGAAAGAATATATCCGGCGATGTTGTATAATACATTCATTTCAATGTTCCCTAAGTTTATCACCTTTGTGGACAAGTTGTCAGAGGCAAGTGGCAGCTTTCTTTTAATTTCTTTTGCTTTGGGCTTACTTAAAAAATCACCAGCAATAATCCTATCATCCTCTTCATAGCTGGAGTTACCTACTGGCTTTAAATATTTTTAAATTGCAATAATCTTCAAATTTTGTTTAAATTGTAATGCATTTGGGCTAGGTTGTTTAGCTCTAACGCAAGAAAAAATATTTTCAACACAGTCTGATGTTAATCGGCCACCTAAAACATAGCCTTTTTCATTAATTAAGTACGTCGATAATTCAATGACTGACTTGCTGGTAATAATGACTCCACGTTGCACAGGTTTAAATTGCATACCGTTTCCAACTAACATTTCTTGGAAAATGTCTATAATAGATTCTAAAAATGCTATTGTTTGTTCAAATTTATTTTTAGATACTTCATCACGTGGAAGTTTTCTCAATGCGAGGTTTGGAGTATGTGAAGTCATCACCGTAAACCATTTTGAAATGATTTCAATGAACAAGGCTGTCGTCTGATACTCTTTTTTAGGATCTTGCGTCGTTATAAATTTTAGACTGCCACTAACATCGCGAGAAAAAAAATTCTTAGCTTTATTGACTTTCATTTTCTGAAAAGTACTACTTGAAAAATCATCTACTTTTATTTTCGAAGTTAATTTTAGTTGTAAATTTTCTTGAAGTTCAGCCAGTTCTTCTAAATGCGAACAATAAACCACAGAAGACGAAAGATTATTAGCATTCGTGAATTTCTCAGGCAAGGTAATGATTTTGTTATTAAGCAAGCAGTATTTTAAATTCTTTAACAGATGGCCAGTATTAGCGATAAACCAAAGCTTCCGATTATTATCTACAGGATGGATAATTGAGTTCGTTATTAGTGAATGGCGTCCAGCAAAACCAACACGAAATGTACGCCACATCGCTAAATTATTTGGTCCCATATCGTTTACAACGCTATGTACATAAAGTCCGATGGATTCAGCTTTTTGAATAATTTCAAGCACGATAGGATGTAGCAATGCTCCATCATAACTTTCAGGTGTAAAATATAAAGCAATATTTTGTTTCCAACGTGAAAATATTCCAGCAAGCACAATAATCAAACCATGCGTAGCTTCAACACTTTCACCTACATGCATGAAAAAACAGGAAAATGATAGAAAAATTATAGAAAGATAGAAAATTATAGAAAAACCGTAGAAAATGGAAAGAATGATAACGCCCAGAAGACAGAACTGGCTAAACTTATGCAACAATTGGCTATAATTATACAAGAGTAACAACAAATCATAGTATCAAATTGTAATGAAGCTATTTTTCAAGACATACCATTACGCGTACGAAACGATGCAGTTCCGCAATACGACCGCGTCGAGGAGTCGAAGTGTTTACCTGGTGCAATAGACATTTCGTCTAATACAAGAATGCAATCTCTTTCTCTAACATCTTGAAACTGAGATATCTTGTCTTCTAACAACTTAAAGATATCGTCACAAATTCCTTCTTCAAATTGAATATGTTCTAATTTCCTTCGGAGTGTACGTTCGCACGGTAAAGGCATATTTTGCTTTCGTAACTCCTGATAACCATTAGAATCACAGGAAAACTTCAGCCGAAGTGCTGTTTTTATGGTGTCGTTCGACCACACACAGCCGCGTGAGGATTTATTCGTGAGAACTTTAATCTGATCATCATTAAATAATCGCTTCAATGATGATTCCAAACTGTGATCATTTTGAGCCTTTGAATTGTTTTGCATTGTAGTTAACCTCTTAACCTGCTTCTTTAACAGATAGTTGCATTGATTACTTTTCAAGATAATTTTGTTGGCCATATCAAGTTTTTTGTTTGCTTCTTCCAGTTGTTTCTTCAGCCATTGAACGTCATCAACTTCGTTGCATGTTTCGTTTGAATGGCTAGAAATGGACGGATCTACAAAAACGTATATGTCGTATAAGTAACCCATACAACATGATGTCTAAAATAGGCGCATAAGAGACTTTTAATATGTCTTTAAGATATATTAAACACATGTCTTGACGTGTCTTAAAGACATCCTAAAGACTTCTTCAAGTTCTCTTGTGTGGGAACATAATAATATATTGCAATAAGTTGAATTTGGTAGTTCAAAAGAATAATTACATATAATCAAACTTGCAAACGTACTCGATATCAATGGAGTAATATCAGAAACATCTGATCCGAGACAGTTATTTTGTTTCGTGGTAACGTCTTCATGAATTGATGCTTGATGATCCAATGTTTCGAACATTATATTAGGCTGTATTTCCACAGATTTATTAGTACTATCCTGAAATAATTCCATTATTTCAATAAATAGATTTTGGCTGAACTATAAGTACGTACATTGCTCATTCATTTTAACAAAGGTACGCATAGCAAGAGAACTCACGTTCGTAATAATACACGTGCCACTTCTTTCCGATGGAACAGAGAAAATTGTGGGCACAGCGTTGCATTTCAACTTCCGTTTTCTGTCGACTCGGGTTTTCTCCCATGTGTCATTCGCAAAATGTAACTATAAACATTTTTTATCTAATCAGCATTTTGATATTTATTAATAACACAGAAGAAAGGATTGTGATTACTTACTTCACATATATATGAATGCTTGGTTGCTTCCCAATTAACTTTGCCTATATTATTGATCCATATTACCTTTCGTTTTGGATCACTTGGAAAGCAAGCTATGAATCTTTTTTCCTTTTGTTGTACGACTAGAGCACCCAGGCACACTGCAGCTTGGCATATTTATACCTACAAAAATAAATATTAAATATTATTATATTGTTCATATTTATATATATTACAGTTTTCCAACATAAATATTTGTTACTGTTTTCATAACTTTAAAGTACAAAGTTAGTAAATATTTTCACAGCGTTATAGTTTTCGCACATCGAACATATTATTTTTTTACGTTTTCATTTCAACTGTAAGGATGTTAAATTTCGTGATTACAATGAAACAATCATGATACTTACACGACGTAGAATTCACGTAGCAACGGATTACAGCGCACACGATGAAATGCACACACGAGTTCATGAATATTGTAGTCTGTTCTTTTTAATTACTGAATTTGTGCAATTGTTCCGTGGTGCAGTTAATAAGAACAGACCATTCACCGCCATTTTCCGGGCACATGTCCAGTCTCTTTTTTTTTCTTTTTTTGGTGACGCAGGGGAAATCCATCATGGATACCCCCTCCCCTTGGGGGAGAGGGAGTTATGTCGGACTCTTACCGACTAAAACCCCTGCGGGATATCTACCTGTCGGGCCGTTGGGTGGGAAGATGGGGGAACTGCTCCCGCATTCCCTCCCCAGCCCCCCGGCCACAGGGCTCTCCGGGAGCCCCACGCCATCAATGTACCGCGCCCTGTCCCACTAAGGGAGTCCAAGGCGCGGTCCCCGGTGAGTTGCCCCACCGGTTGGCCTTCTGGTCACACCTATTAGGAGGAGGGGGATATCCACGCCCCTCCTTTACCCTTCCCCCCTTTAAAAAAAGGGGGGAGGGTTTTGGGGGAGCGGGCCCGGCCCCAACCGGGACACCGTCCCCCTTTTCCCTGCTTGTCCGACCGCGCGGAGGGGACCAGGGAAACCTAGTCCCCCCCCACCCGGATGGTGGCGGCCGAGGAGTCCCCGACCCATCGCTATCGACGGGCGAGTCCTCCTCGGCCGATGCCACCTCGGGTCCGCTGCCGACACCTCCTCCCGGGGATCGCCGACCGGTGCGTCGCCTCCTGCGACGCACTCCTGGTCGGCGTCCCCATTCCGCGGCCTCCTTCTGCGAGATTACCTCCCGACAGAAGGAGGCCGCTGCGTCCCACACTTCCTCGCTCCCGCACATGGCCTTGACCATGTGCGGGAGCGAAAGTTCCCCCCTTCGGCACTTCACCGCCCCCTCGAGGACACGGCGCTCCTCGTCCCATGCCGAGCGTCCCATGCAGCGCTCCTCGTCCCATGCCGAGCCGTCCCATGCGGACAAGGTGTGATGCGCCGTGTCCTCGATAACGGGGCAGTGGTGGCACCGAGTGGTGGGCTCCTTTTTTATCTGGTGCAGATACCGACCGAAGCAACCATGCCCGGTCAGCATCTGCACCAGGTGGAATGACATTCCACGTCCCCTCCTGCCCGTCACCTCAGACAGGCAGGGGCGGACAGCCGCGGCCGTCTTGGGACCGGACACCCTCGGGTCGGACAACTCGTCCTTCCATTTCCGAAGGGTCCGGTCTCTGGCCTAGAGTTTCAGGCCCTTCATATCCCTGGCCCTTAGCGTCCCCTCCGCGCGGAGCTCCTTCACTCGCCAATAGAGAACGGATCTCTCATCGGCAAGGAGCTCCACAGGAGGGACGCCGGCCAGGGTGGTCGCCGCCATGTACTACACGTTCCGATACCTCCAAATCGCCCTTATTAACACCGGCCTCAAGGCCTGCCGGAGGGAGCGTTTTCCCCTCCGGCAGACCAAGAGGCTAGGCGCCCATATGGGCGCCCCGTAAAGGGCGATCGAGAGCACGGCGTGACATACAGGCGGCATGCCATCCAACCCGGGCCCCCCTGAGCGCGCATCAGACTGGCAACCGCCAGACCCGCCTTGCGCACCCGGGAGGCCAGGTTCCCAAAGTGGGGCCCGAAACTCCAACGGCTGTCCAACGTCAGGCCGAGATATTTGATCGTCGGCCCGACGCGGACGTGGACGCCATCCACAAGGACCTGGGTTTCCGGAGGCGCCCCTCGACCTCGGTCGTAAAAGTATACAGCCTCGATCTTCTGGGGCGCCACCGAAAGGCCCAGGTCTTTTATGGTGCCCACCACCGATACCAGTGCCGCCTCCGCGCGGAGGCGGGCATCCCCCCAGTTCTCCTCCCCGGCCACCACTAAAGTGTCATCTGCGTAGCAGATGACGTGACAGCCCGGGGGGAGCGGAGTTCTCAGCACCCGGTCGAACGCGATGTTCCATAGCAAGGGGCCCAGGACGGACCCCTGCGGAACACCGCGCTCCATGGTGCGCCGGCCCTGGACCCCGCCCTCCACTGGGAAGGCGAGGTCCCTGTCCCCGAAGTAAGCCGAGAGAATACGCTGGAGATAGGTGGGCACGCCGTGATGCACGAGCGCCCGCCCAATCTCCGGCCACGGCAGTGTTGAAGGCATTCCTTATATCTAAGGAAACGGCCAGCAACACCCCGCCGTCCCTCTCCACGACCGCCTGAGTCAGGCCCCGGAGACACTGGACAGTATCCAGCGTTGATCTCCCGGGCCTGAACCCAAACTGGCGGTCGTGGAGGTTCGGCCTCTCCGAGGACAGGTGCCGGACGAGGCAGTCGGCAATGATGCGCTCGAGCAACTTGCCCGCCTCGTCTAGCAGGCATATCGGCCTGTAGGCCGACGCACTACTGGGTGCTTTGCCCTCCTTGGGGAGGAGGACCAACTTGGCCCTCCTCCACTCTGGGGGGAATACCCCCTCCCTGAGGCATCCGCTCAGTACCCTGCGCGTGGCCGCGAACAGGTTTCCCTCGTCGAGTGCAAGGGCCCAGGCGCGGCCAGGAATTCCGTCGGGGCCAGGGGTTTTGCCCTTGGCCCCGAGCCTCTTCCTGGCCTCAGCGAGCTCCTCTGGACTGACCTCCAGGCCCTCGTCCCAATCTCCTCCCCCCTTTCTGGGGAGGGATCACGGGTGGGCCCCCTTCTGCCCTCGGAAAGAGGGTATCCAGGAGCCCTCCGAAGGCCTGGTGGTCCAACTGCTCGGTCGGTAGGGGCGCCCAAGGGCGAACCTTTCCGGTCACCCTTTTGTAAGGGCGCCCCCACGGATCGTCGTCCAGGGAGCTCACCAGTTGCTCCCAGACCGCTTGCTTTGCCTCGGCGATGGCAGCTTTTAGGGACTTCCTCACTCGGAAGTAGTCCCTTTTTGTCCCCGCGACATCCCCACCGTCTCGCCGGGCCCGCATCAGCAGCCTTCTAGCTGCTATGGCGGAAGCTCGGAGCTCACTGAGCTCCCTGCTCCACCAATACGTGGCCCGGCGAGAACGGGGACGGGATCGGGGCATCGCGACGTCGCAACACGACGCCACGATGCCCACTATTTCCTCGGCCCCTTTGCAGGGGCCGGGGTCCCGCCCCTCCGGCACCTCCCCCAGGTGCCAGGATGCCGCAAGGACAGCCGCCCGAAACCTGTCCGCGTCCAGCCGACTAAGGGCCCATCTTTTGGGGAGAGGGAATTCCCTCTCCCCGGGGCGGCGGATGAGCACCTGCTGGGGTTTGGGGAGGCGGAGGATCCACACTATGTGTCTGTGATCAGACAGTGTTTCCCCCTCCACCTCCACCTTCCATTCGTGGAAGTACCCCGCGGCCGAGGGGGTCGCCCAGGTCAAATCAATGACCGAGGCTCCACCCCCCCCGGCCGCACGCAGGTGCTTTCTGAGCCTTCATTCATAAGAATGAGGCTCAGTCCCGCCGCCCAGCCGATCACGGTGTCCCCCCGGCGGTCCAGCTACCAGGGACCGCAACCCCACCCATCCGAGTGGGCGTTGAAGTCCCCGGCAACTATGACTGGTCGGGGATGGCATCTTCGCACCAACTCCCCGATCCTGCCCAGGACCGCCTTGATCGGGGTGGGACGACCGAGACCGGCCCTATTTCTGCGGTGGGGAAGATAAATCCCCACCACAGTAATGGGCCCCCAGTCGACTGCCACGTACGAGGGCCCTCATTCCCTGAATGTACAGGGTGGGGCCCCCGTCGCAGGGTTTGTCGCCAAGGCCACCGAGCCATCTGGACCTCCGAACCAGTTCGCACTGCGAACCGGGATTCAGAACGGCTCGGTGACCACCGCCAGCCCGGCGCCCAGCTCAGTCATCCTCTGCATGCAGAGGTACTGAGCCTTGGCGCCGTGGCCGACGTTGGCCTGTAGGGCCCGGAGTGGCATGAAGGTTACACCTTGCACGCCTCCTCCGGGCTGCCTACTTCAACCTCCACCTGGTCATCCACCGACGGTTCAGCCGTCTCGGGTTCCCCGGGGGAGGTTTCGGCCGTGGTGGCCTCTTCAGCGGGTGCCTCAGTAGGTGCCTCCGCGGAGTCGCGGGGGGTCCCTACCTGTACGAGTTCCTCCTCTCGGGAGTACGAGGAGGAATCGGCAACCTAGGGAGATGGGGGTGGCGTTCCCTCCATCTCCCCTTTCTCTACAGTAGTTGGGGGTGAGCCCGTAGGCTCCACCCTCCTTACCTTCAATTCCTCGTTTCCTGTTAGGAGGTCCATGTCTCCTCTATCCCTTCTTTTCCTCCCGGCTGCAGCTGGTTGGGCCTCGCCCCATCCTTCTATACCTGGCGTTGCTTCCTCCCAGTCCAGGTCTATGAGGTCCCCCTCTTGAGTTGCAGCTGGGGCGGATGGCAGCAAATCCGCAGCCTTCCCTTCCTTCTCATGGTCCTCCTTTGGGGAAGGGGTTGCTCCCCTCCCTTGGTTGCTCCGGCAGGGGCTGTGTCGATGCATCAGCGATGTTCCGGGCTTCCACCGTCTTTGCATCCTTCGCTCCTCCTCCCTTCTTCCCCTTCCTCTTCTTGCCTGGGGAGGGACCGTAGGCAGGCCCTCCGATCTTATGACCGGAGGGCCTGCCCACCTCCGCGCAGACGGGGCAGTTGGCCGCCCGCGGGCACCCTTTGGCGCGGTGGCCGGGGGTACCGCAGCGATAAC